ACAAAACAAAAAAAAAAAAAAAAAAATTAAGAAAGAGAAAGAGGAGAAAAAAAAGGAAAAAGAAGACAAAAAATTAAGCATTAGCTGATCCTTTCCATAGACAAGCAGAAATCTACCGTACAGTTGTCCAAACCATCCTGTTTACGTACACAGATAAATCTCTTTCCCCCACTCCCTCTCCTGTCCTTCTCTTCATCTCAGTAATTCCTTCCTTTTGAACAGGATCATTCTCTTTTTCCAGTATCTATTGTTCCCTTCAGATTTTATTTTCTCTTTCAGTGATTCTTTTCTTCTAACCAAACCCATTACCAGTCACTTTCTTTCCTTAATCCTTTTCTATGTGTAAAGGCGATGTCGATGACAATGTTCCTGCCTGTCTGGTTAGACTCTTAAATACCTCCCTACTAGTGTTAGCTTTCTAAAACTCTTTTTTGACTATTGTTTGCTAAAAATATCTCTATAAAATATTAGTATGGGAAGAAAAGTAAATTACAGTTTTACTTAATGCCCATTTTACAGTGAACTCTAAACATGATTTCTTACTGTACCTTGCTTTCAATAACAATATGGAAAGGCTGAGAGAACCATACTCTACTCAAGACACTACCTTGGGACTATTTTGCTTCACATTTCCTAAAAGTAAAGTGAAAGAAAAATCCCTCTGTATATTTACAAGACTGAGATACTACAGTTTCAGTGTATGGAGCCGTTTGGATGATGTGTATTTAAATATTGAGAGTGAGCTGAATCTCTTTTTCTCTCCTTTCCTTGTCTCCCTCCCTCTCTCCCTGCCTTCCTCCCTCCCCACGTACCCTTGTGCATATATACACTCCTGCTCCCAAACCGTATGCACCACGTGACCCTCTTGTCTCAGCTATGTGTTTTACAGTTCCGTTTTCAAAAGTGCATTGTGAAATCGTCATGGCTTATTGAATAATTAGTATTATTATAGACTTAACATGCTTTGATTTTTAAAAGGTTTTTATTTAACTTTTCAGTATAAATCTATATAAAAGAAAATGTCTGTCTTTTACTAGCCATTTTTGTACTTTATTTTAAAATAGTTTTTAAATTTTGTCTTCTCTCTCTTTTTTTTTTTTTTTTTTTTTTTTGCATTTTAGGCATAGAATTTTGATGGAGTGCACCCCACTTTCTGACTCATTTCTCTGATCTAAAAAACAAACAAAGCCTCCCCCAATCCATGGACAAATACTTGGCCTAAAGCCTAACGCAACCATTGCCCAGAAACAAAATATTGAAATTATGCTCTGTCTGTGCCTCTCTGATGAATTGATAGATGAGGGTCCCCTCAGAAAAATTCCGTGAACATTTCCTGAACCATCTCTTTGGATAGCCATGGCTTAAACACAGAGAGGCAAATCCAAATCCCTGTTCCAGTCTCTAATTTGGAACCCTGAAAGCATCGGTCTTTCTTTTAGAGTCATTAGGCATGAGGGAGGGAATGAATTTTGACAACCAGAGGACACTTTTTGGCAGAACGACAGAGGAGTCTGAGTTTTTTGGGCATCAGGGGTCGGGCGCAGCGCATGGATAATTTAGGTTGCTGAGTTTTCAAGCCTCACCGAAGACGCATGGTTCTCATGCAATTACGAGATTAAAGTGAGATAAATTGGCACTCACAGTTGTGGCAGGTGGCCCCGCTGTAGCCGGTCTCATCACAAGTGCATCGGAAGCTGTCCCACGTTTGGGAGCACTTACCGCCATGCTCACAGTGATTGGGCACACACCTGTCAGAAAGAGAGAGGGACAAACAGAAATAAACCAACTATCACACGAGGTTTAGGAGTGGCCACACTCCCAGCTGTCGGGGCGATACAGCACAGCAACGCCACGTTGCCTTACTGAGGCAATTAATCCTTGTTAGTTTAAGCCGATTAATACGGTCCATGATGGAAGGTGCCACGCACAGGGAGGATGATGGATCACCGGTCTGGTGCTTCCTAGTTTTGGGTAAACGCCAGTGGAGGGGTCATTTGCATATCACGCATTCACTTTTTGCTTACCCCTAGACAAGACACTAAGTTTCTGCTCCATGAGTGATGGAAGATAAGCCATGCTGGCGCCTATTTTTATCTTATCAAGGCCAAATCCAAGTTAAGGATGACTAACACTGAATTTTCCATACAAGTTTCAATATTTGAAATAATGCCAGGCAAAAAGCTATGAAATCTACCAACATGATAAAGAAAGATTTCTAAAGCTTCAAAACATGTCCACCTATGCCCAGCTGGATAACTAAAGATGCCTCTTCAAAGATGAGGTAATTTGGCAGAAATAAAACAAATTTCTGCTCAGATTTGTTTTTCTGTTCCACTGGATAGCTAATTATGTCCGCATAATTTAATCTTTCAGAACCTCAGTTTGCCATTTTAAAACTGGAGGACTCATAAAACGTATTTTATTTTTAAATTAAATTTATTTTTAAACCATGACATCACAAGATGAAAATTGTACATATGAGTATTTCCTTCGTGATGTTTTGATATATGTTTATACTGTGCAATGTTTAAACACATCTATCTCCTCAAACGCTTATCATTTTCTTATGGTTAAAATATTTAAAATCCTTTCTTGTAGTGTTTGAAATATATGATACATAGATAGTATCCATAGTCACCCCTCTTGCGTGCAGTCACACACGAGACCTTCCTACTCCTACCCAGCTGTAGCTCAGTGCTCACTGATCAACTCTTCCAGCTCTACTTCTCCACCCTCCAGCATCTAGTACCCACCACTCTCTTCTTGATTTCTGTGAGTTCTGATTTTCTAGTTTCTGCCTATGAGTGAGATGCTGGCTCTCTTTGCCTTTAATTTCACTTCACAGAATGACTTCTGGTTCCACCCATGCTGTCTTGAAGGACAGGACTGCATCCTCTTTTAACTGCTGAACAGAATTCCCATGTGTATAACCACCACATTAGGCTTGGAGGTAGTGCTCACAAAGTGGATAATTATTAGGCAGGAGCTAGAGGACCACTCATCTGAACTACACATACCTGTACGACAGCTTCCAGTTCCCTAGCTTGTGCCCTGGCAACACTAAGTTGAAATTTGTTCTGAAACATACTATTTTGATGGTCTAAACTGTTTCTCATGTTCGTATTTCCTTATCTCTTCTTTCAATTCCTCCCTCTCACCTTCCCTCCCTAACTTTTCCTGGTAAAAATGCTCACAGATTTAAAAAGAAAGCATTAATTTTTAGGTATTAACTTTCAGAGAGGATGTATCTAGATTTTATAAAATGTTCCTCTCAAATTAATACAGCACAATCCTCAGTAGTGGGTCACAGGCAATAGTTGGAGAGAGAACTATCTTGTGTGAAAATCATTCATCCAAATGCACTAGTAGCTTTCTGCTCAATAATCTGATAAAGCTGGTTTCAGAAACTGTATTCTCCCTCTCCAAGTCCTATGTGCCATCCGCCTTTGCTCAATCATGCTGGAGCAGGGTACAAGTGCAGTGTGACGTGGAACCTGCTGATGCTACGCAAGTGCTCTCTTATCACCCCATTCTTCACACAGTGTGTACCTGCAACAAGTATTCATTGAGCATCTGCAGGATGCACAGCACTGTGCAAGGACAGAAGATGAATAAGTTGCACAGCCACACATGAAAAGAGTTTCCCACATATGAACCCAGACATATTACAGATAAGAATTAGGCTAGTAGCCAGAAATGAAAAATGGCACAATGTTTGTATAAGAAACACTATAGAATTTCACGTGAGGGCTCACAGGTCGATTTTAGCCACCATTAAAAGCTTTCCATTGAGCTGCAATGAGTGGGCAGGGCTGTAGAGGGATATGAGATAAAGAGCTTTGTTGAGATGAATCATGTATAAAGGTATGATCTAGATTTGTTCTTGCTCTTATGAAGGTTCCAAAAATGGTCCACATCCTTTACCTTCTCTATTTATAAGGTAGATAGAGGTGAGGGTGGAGGACAAGATTCAAGCCAAATATAATACCAGAAAGGATTTGATAAGTTTTAAAGGTGAAATGAAATGCTACAGGAATTTGCTTACTAGAATTGCTTTGAGTAGAGGTTCAATAATGTTTGGAACATTAAAGCATGCCTGGCTCTTAAATAGTCACATAAAATGTTGGAAAGTGGTACTAGTGTAGAGCCAAAGAGGAAAACTATGGGCAGGAAGGATAACTGTGAGTTATGTGTGGTCCTGTGTGGCCAGGGCATGTTCCTGTAACAACCAAGCCATGTAGTTTCCTAGCCTGGGCCACAGTAGCAGGGGTTGACATCTAACATTTGTCATTATCCATATCCTAAGAGGAAGTGAGGGATAGATGCTCCAAACTCACAGGAAACTAAAACATCGTTGTTGCTTAGTTTTGATACTTGGCCAGCCAATGTCTTTGTGCAATCTATTTACTTTCTAAATTATTGCAGGTTAATATTAGCTCAGCCTAACAGAAAAAGCCATGTAGAGGAGCTCATTATAGCAATTAATTCAGGAGGAGGTCGTTGAAGAGAGTACTGTGGAGCAAAGAGGCACCAGCTCGGAATCTAAATTGCTCTCAATATTGAACCAAGTAGAAAAATCCACATTTTTTTGTGATAAATAGATTGCTATGTCTTTAAACATAGGGGAACCGAATAGCTATTCAGCGAGAATAACCAACTTACTTCTAAAGTGAAGTTTTAAGGATTTCTAAATGCCTAAAAATTGATTATTTTTACTTAGATGGGATTTCAAGATTTCATTTTTACTATGTGTTTCTCACTACTTAGACTTTAAAATTGACATCTTCCTTATTCAGATTGTTAGCAATCGAATGCATAATGGTGTGAGATTTTTTATTTCCAAAGCAAGTTGATTCAAAAGTAATTTCAAATCCTAATATCATATTATCATACATTTTAGCTATGATAACTGGTTGCCAAGAAAAACAAAACATACATTAACCTAGTGTCCCCTCTTTAGCCATTTATTTCATCTCCTGTCTTCCCATAGAATACTCATTTGCATGCATCCCATCTACCATTATCATGTTGCTTAGCAATTATGTCTTGGGGCAGATAAAGGGAGAGTCCTACAGTCAGTTGTGTTTAGTTTTTGGTTCTTTGTTCAAAATCATGTCTAGCACACACTCAGGAAACACCTCCTAATAGACATCAGGAAGACAGCGATGCATGAAATGCTAGAAAGTTATGGCTCCGTGGACTTAAAAGTCGTTTCCCAGGCAATGCCTCCTGCACCACGCGAAGTACAGATAGATTATTTTTACCTATAATTTCAGTTTTAAACCCAGACTCATGCACTCATGAGCCAGGCCACAGGAAAGGGATAATTTCTTTCAGGCCATGTCCTAGCTTGAAAGTCGGAGCCACATAAAAAATGAATCAAAATGACTTGAGTGATTCTGCTTGAGAAGTATTTGACTGGGATCAGCGACAGGCAGGGCAGGAGCTGGCAGATGTCAGTACGTTGTGATCAAAACGCTTGAGAATCAGCCATGTATCCAATTACTCCAGCCTGGACCGCTCTGGAGTCTGAGCCTCATTCTGTCCCAATCATCCTTCCATTTATGACCTTTCAAAATGCTTTAGAATCTAAATGGATTTTTTTTTTTCAAATGAAACTTCTACCCTCAAAACATGAGGCGAACAAAAGCTGTATTTGGAAAGTTTGAAAATGCACCACTTAGTATACGATGAATCAGTGGATGCAACGGGGCTCTCTGGCCAGTTCCAACAATTCACCTGAGGGTTATGGATGACAGTTGCAGTTTTATTTCATGCATACCATCTTTTATTGTTGTACCTGATTTCAATTGCAAAGCATGGGGAAAACTGGGATTAGCAGATATAAGGGATTGGAAACGGTACCCAATTTGTTTGTTCGTTGCATTCATATTGTAGTTTATGGATACTAATCACAATCAAGGATGCAAGAAAGAATCCTATTTCAAATCTTTTTTTAAAAAATAATTTTATTGAGAAACAGCAATGAGACAGTTTCAAAACCTATTAGTAGGACAGTTTCAATGATTAATACATTGCATATTATTGCCTTCTTAGTGGTTATTCATAATTCAAGATGCAGACATGATATCCTGTCCACAAACATTATTAGCACAAATCTTTCTATTCAAATCTTAAAAAAAAAATGTTAGCCTGATAGTCCAGTGGAATATATTGCTCATCTTCAAAGATCTTTGAAGGTTTTTCTTTCTTTTCCCTTTATAATGTTTAAAAGTTAAAGAGAGCTGACAGTGTATTCTAATGCTACAGTGCCTCTGGAAGGCCCTGGTTTCAAACTCTAGTGCTGAAAAAAAGTTAGGTTATTTTGAACAATATTCAAGTAAAATGTTTGTGTTACCTTTAAAACTACTTTTGATTCTGTATAGTCTGATTGCTTGTGTCATGAAAGTTAATCCACATGCAAATATGCTGATATGATACCAGTTACCAAGCAACAATTAAAGCAGTGGAGTGCTTATGAGAATTCGCTTGCTGTCACCTATGGGTCCCTAATACTGAGTCTTTCAGAGTTTCTCAGACATAGAAATCACTTAGAAGTCTCTTTAAAGGGAAGGCTGTGATTGTTGCAGTCTAGGTGGCTTTTGGGCATCTGAAAGTCTAAGAAAGTCGCAGGCAGTGCTTGTGTCACTGGGATGAGGACCACGGGCAACAGAACAATGCTTGAGGGCTGTGAAGTTCTTCATAGAGGGCGCTGGACAGAGTGAAGACCAAGGAAGAGGAGAGTCCA